TCGGACCACAGTCTTCACTTTCCGGAACTCTAAATTAAAAGCCGAGTATCGGTGATTAAGTGCAGCTGCTCGCCCTCACTCGACCATGTCCCTCATCCACACGCGTTCCTCCACTACACAACGTGACACTTGCTACGTGTGTATTTCAGTGCGCACTTCATCTACAAACTAGCGTATAAATAGCATCCGTAGACATCGTTTAACGCTCGAACATTGCTCACACAGTGGTTGGTAGACATGTCTCGGCACCATCACTTATTTATCCACCCAGCACAACAAAACGTGCTGAAAAATGCACGGCCAATGGACGCTCAGAGAGAAGTGTAGAAAGAGTGAAGTAGACAAGCTAAGCCGGTGAAACGGCACAGTCAGGTCGTCGCTGGCAATAAAGGCGAACCACCAAAAACGTGAGATGATGAATACATTGTATAGAGAGCAATACGGCAGAAAAGCCAGCCAAGAGAAGGACTCGGCAGTCGAGACTAGGAGACGGTGCTAGCGCACAAAACGGGTCCAAAAGTGCGTGTGCAGCCGTGGATATCAAACATGTATAGACCAGATAGCGTGTAATGCCTGCAGCAGGCTAAATGTGAGGCACACTTTGACAAGCTAAGAGTGCGACAACAGCAAACGTGTGGCTCGCGTCACTGCAAGGAAAAGTGTCACAGCAATAAGCAGCAATAGTGAATAGTGATCAAGGTTACAAGCATAAATTAAGTAAGTCTTCGAAGAATGCCGTGAGGCTGGATAAGTATCGCACAGAAAACACTGTGGAATATACACACACATTCGTAAAATACGCACTGGATGGATCGCGTACACAATATTACTTATCAACACCTCGCAAGCCGGCGCCTCCCAGAGTCGATCTCGTTTCTTTCGTTAAATAGGTAAGGTAAAGCCAAAATATGACCAACAAAAACGCATCCGTTGAATGCAGAATTGCGTACCATCGTTGTAAGCCGTCTAGGTCACCATATCACAGACATGACCATTGGTCATTCGACCACCACCGACGAAGCAAAACCTCGTAATTCTGCGAAGAAACGGCACCACCAAAACGCTAGAACGCTTTTAGCGGAAGCTTGTCGTTGAACAGTAGTGAGAAGAGACTCTTGTGGACGTTTTTGCATGGGGACTGTTCCATTGCGAGCAGCGTCAATCCAATTTGGAGACGGGATCATCAGGTCCGATAGCGACACCACCAATGCGGCAGCACCGAGAGACCAGTAGAGCCTGCCGGAGCTCTGGGCGGACCCGCTGCGACCAGCAGTACTGAATGGACCAGGAGTACCGAACCGACCAGTATCCCACCGGTAATACTGAACTGACCGGGTGCCAGTACGCCGACAATACCGACAGACCAGCTCAGCCTCGCCAGTAATGCTCAACTGACCGGCATCCTACCGGTAATACTGAACGAGCCAGAAGTCATGTCGGCAGCACTGTGCGAGCCAGCAGTAGCCCATGGGCCAGCAGCTACTGGCGGAAGTACTAAGAGCTCAGCAGTCCAGCCCAGCAGCCCGTCAGCCGGCTGGAGTCACCGGTCCGGGCGGCTCGCACTACTATCATTATGACGGCTTCAGACTACTGGAGTGAACCGAATCAACCATGGAGTAACCACTGTCCAGACGGCATGCATCTGATGCCGATGTCGCTGGGTCGTATTGCTAAATTGGCGTGTAATGGTGACTAAGGAATGCTAAAAAGAAACCGCCTAATTTGAAGCATTGGCAACTGAGACAAATATTAATGTCTAAGGGTACCAGTAGTCTGGTAACTAAACATAAATGATAGCTAAATCGATGTCATTAAACCGAAATAACAATAAAACACCAATAATAACACAAAGCACCAACAACTTAATCCCGTCCGCTTAAAACAACACAGCAAGTACATCGGACACCACCGAATCAAAGTCCCAATTCACTGCAGGCGGTCTGCTTCCATATCACAGCGAGGAATGCCTCGGACTGGCCACAGCGCACGACCAGGGACGGCCGCCCATCGGCGCCCGCAGCCGGGCGACCCAGAGCCGGCACACCGCACCAACAGGGGCTGGGAAGGAGCTACCGCGGCGGACGATGTCGTGCGGCAGCGAGCGACACCGCACCGTCAGACAGCACCTTCTGGTCGCCCTGTGCCCATCCCAACCCTCGGGGCAGACAGAAGACCCAACGGTGGACAGTTAGCCCGCACACGCAGCCCTTCACACCCACACACAAGCACACCCCTCCCTTCCTCACAGACGGCCCGGGGAGACCGCACGCCGGCAGGGCACTCTTACCCCACAACAGGCAGAAAACGACGGATAACGACAACCCCTAGACAGTGCTTAGCCATGACATTTTGCAAACACTACACTAATACCTGGGAAGAAATTTCGCAAAACGAAAAAAACAACTGCTCCTACTATCATGTCGCGAAGACGATGGTCCCTAAAAACATAATGTAAGACACAGCACCGGCCAGTTGCATACACGGTTCGATACCCTGTGTCTGGCGCATCCCTCAACCATGGATCTGCCCCCGACCCCTCCCGACCCGGCCGGCGCACACTGGTCGGAAACGCCCTCACGAGAGGCCACGGGCGATTCCGGAGTTTCGGATTATTTTTTATACAGATCGATTTGAAATTGATCAAATTATTATACTTAGGCCAAAAAAACTAATTCGGGTGACCAAAAATAGCTGTAATCAGCCCCCGAAGATGGGGTATCCCAGAACTCGGAAACTGACGCGGAGCAAGAGGTTTCTTGAGCCGGATATTCAGAGTCTTATTGCTGATAGACACCAAATTGAAATCCCACATATTATGCATCAAAATGTTCGTTATGAAGTTGCCGACTGGTCAGTGCAAAATTTTGGGTATACTTTTTCCCTAACTAAGATGTACTATAGCTTTTTTATGAAGGCTCTCCTACAGTGATTCTGGAATATAACTGCAAAGTTTAGGTAAGGAAACAACAGGTAGTCCCATCTAGTTCCACTCTGATTTTTTGTGAGATGAAGTAGGATTTAAATTTACACCAGGGCAACATAAAAGCTAACTGCGCATATTTGCGCAAAATTTGCAGGAGCCGCTCTTCCTACCCAACTACCGCCCGCCCCGCCCCAGTTTCGGCTCGGCCGCCGCGCCCGGCTTACGCTGACCTGTGTGGCCTGCACGCATCCATGCGTAGTTGACTGGTTATTAAAAACAGATGCGCTTGAGTTTATGAATTTTGTGAAAAGCGCGTTTTATGTATGCATTTATGTATGCATTGACATCAAAAGCCTTCCACATATTGCGTGGCGATCTCGGCTTGCATTTAGAGAGCCTTGCTATTGACAACCATCACTCGGCTGAAGAAAGTGGAAATTGAAACCTTCGTGAATATAAGACGCTGCAAATATAGGACACCTGTCACTGACGTCGGGTTACCTTGGGCCGTCTTTTTACATTAGATCACAATTCCGGTATTTAACCCTGGCCGGACCGATTGGTTTTCTACATTGACCGGGGAGGGTTGGTACAACTCCCTCGCCGTTTCGCCTCTAATTGAGCTAGAGCCTCGCGGCAAAAAACAAACTTGTGTGCCGTTATAAGACGCAAAAATTAGGTACTACCCGATTTAAAGGTCTTGAGTCAGCCAGTGACCTCTTAGGTCAGGTAAATGCCACAAGGCACGGGCTGGGTTTTAGGTTAATTACTTTGCCAAAAATGGTCGCACTGCCGCGATTTTGGCATAATCGTGTTTGTCTAGCTAAGGCGCGTTGAATGCTATACTTGGTGTTCGGGTAAAGTCAACTTAACCCTCGCCGGCACAGGCCATTTTGCGTCCTTCGACGGCACAAGGGGGGGGGGGTTGGTACGATCGAGTTGGCGTTTGGCCCTCGCGTTTGGCCCCTGATCGAGCTAGAGCCTCGCGGAAAAAAACGAGCGTGTTGCCCGTCACGAGAGAAAGCCGATGATACCCAATTTTAAGGTCCTAGGTCATCGGGTGACCTTCCAGGTCAGGTCAATGACCCGAAAACCGGGAAAATCGAGACCTGTTAGAAAGTCGTAAATTGTGGCTGCTATGTGGTTTTCCGGGGTGCTGATCACGAATATCGTGTTAGTGTTGATCAGAGATGATGTCTTTAAGCATTTAGACCAGGTCGGGTCAGGTCAGGTCAGGTCAACCGGTAGGGGTTGTGACGGGTATTCGTAATACGTGTCAACCGCCTCTGACAGCTTCGTAACATGTTACGAAGGCGCCAAAACTACTTCGTAAATGTTCAAATGGCTGCTTAATTAGAATTCAGCTCCAAAAACTAGCCTAGAAACATGTAAAACTCGAAAAAGTGAACCGAGGTCACCCGAGGTCACCAAAGGTCAATGACCTGACCTGACCTTCAGGTGACCTTGACACCCATCCTAATGTATGGGAGCAACATCAAATCACATGTTTGAACGTTTGAAACCACGAAAAGCTTGCAAACGCGCGGCTAATGCGAGCCGACATACGCCGAATCGCGATTTCGGCCAAACATGGTCACGGAAAAGAGGTCACAGGTCAAAGGTCATTGGGGTCAGGGTCATGAAATTTACAGGGTAGGTGTAAAATTGATCAATGCAAGGGTACTGAAAGTTTCGTCGCGATCGGCCGCTTTTTACGCGAGTTATTCGCGAAAAACCTTAAGGGGGTGCATCAACCCCCTGTGCCGGCGAGGGTTGAGGTGTTAACCTCGGGTCAAGGTCAGGTCGGAGCCCCTCAGGTCATGAAAATGGTTGTAGGAGGTCATATCGCATCTCATTCGATTCGGCAGGTCTTCCTGAGTCCAATGGTGGCTTTCCCGACTCTCTAGCTCCATCTGATCAGGAGTTATTGACGAAAAACTTACATGGCCTTAGTGACGTCATAAATGACGTCACGCAAAGTCAACAATGCTAAATTCAAGCACTGGACCTTGCAAGGAGTGCATGAAACCATTCCCGGTGCCCGAATAGCAGCTCACAATTTCCCTTGTTGACTTAAAGTGGTGCTAGATCCTGTATTATACTCAATTATGACGTCATAACTTAACAGATTCACGTCATATATTTAGTGGTTGACATCCAAATGATAGCTTACATATGACAGAGAAGGTATGCAAAGTTTTATGAAGTTTGCTTCACTAGTTGTGGAATAACAAGCAAAAAACTTTTGCGGAAAGGCCGCTGGCCTCTCGCTGGAGCGTTTCCGACCAGTGTGCGGCGGCCCGGCTCTGCCCGCTGCTCTGCTGCGCCGGCCGAGCAGTCGGGTGTCACTCCGAAGGTACCTCACGGCGCGGCCGGCCGGTCGGCGAGTTAGGCCAACTTGTGGCCACCGGCACCGGCCGGCCGGGCATAGAATGCCGAATGGGCCCCGGCCGCAGTCGACACTCAAAGTCGCAGCTGTCGGGACGATCAATGATAGCCGACGGAAACACGGGTACCGGGGGACTATCAGAGGATACCTTCGAGTACCGTGAGCCTTCATAGAGCACCTCCGGGTAACGGTGATCATTGGAGGGTACCAGCAGATATCATGGGCCATTGGGAGCACCTTCTGGTACCGTAGACGATCGGAGGGCACCTACGGTACCGAAGAGCATCAGGGGGCACCTGAGGGTACCGCGAGCCTCAACCATTCGCCATTAGCGAGCCAGAGCACTACCGGTATCTGCAGACTATCAGAGAACTAGCGGCACCTCTGGGTACCGCGGGAACTCGACTACTCGCAGTTTGTCGCGCGTCTTGTACGCCGGGTACAGGCCCACCTTCTTTAGTCGCCGGTTTTCGCCCTTGGAGTAGCCGTTCCAGTGGTTACCTGCCAGAATATATGGAGGTGTCAGAAGCACGGGAATATTCTAGATGGATAATAAGTATTCAAAACACGCGACGGGTTTATTCGTTGCTAGTATCTAGCTCAAAACGTGACAATAAACGTATGAGAAATACGTCCACAACAGTTATCGGGTTTTCTCCGACTGAAAGAGTATTATGATACAATTATTTCCAAAACATGATTCCAATGCTGCAAAGCAACCATACAAGGGGTTTATCAAGGACATTTAGGCCAGAGGCATTAGGCATTCGTCAGATGTATCTATCAGATAACCGATTTATTTATCAGTTAACCACCACCACCATTAGCCCGTCCACACAGACTGCTCCCTCCCGACAGTGCTGCCACCTACCGGCGATGCCGACCGTGTCGCCGGGACTGAGCGCGATCTCCGACCCGTCGGCCGGCTGGTGAGCGAACCGGGCCGTCTGCTCGTGCGGCGACTGGCCGCCGTAGTAGTATATATCGTCCAGTGAGGTGAACCAGTCGGCCGCGTCCACGTGCATGGTCTGCATCAGCTCGTAGGCCACTCGGCAGACCTGAGGGAAGAGACGCGTCAGTCGGCGGCTGTGAACGCGACAGTCAAATAAAGTGCGACTGCAACTCGAGCACAGATCCACCAGTCAAGCAAATAATGCACGCAGTCCGCAGCTGTATAAAAACGCAGATACCTTTCCATCAAGAGGCGATCCAGCCAATATCTCTACATGTGAGAAGGAAATGAGACACCCGTGAGAAACGCGACTCACCCCCGAGACGACTTACCTGTGAGAAGCACGTGACGCACCCTCGGGACCGCGGCCCACTTGTGAGAAACACATGAGCTATAAGGCAGAGGCAATACTTGCGTGCAATGAGACTGGACGCCTCTTGTAAGATCACTTCCTACCTGGCTTAGACCTGTAGTTTTAGGGCCTTGTGTCAGACCATAAACCACGTCCTGAGATTGAGACTTTGGCACCGTAACTTGCCTGTGATGAGAACGTGCAGACCAGGTGATCGGTCAGCGACAGCGCGTGGATGTCGGTGATGACTCCGCGCAGCGAGGCGTCCGTGTACCGCGAGGAGACGGCTGCAGTCTTGGAGACGCTCGGGTCGCCCAGGAACGTGTAGTCCGGGAACCTGGGAAACAGGCGGACGGGAAACGGTTAGACAGCAGCCTTAGCAATTACCGTCAAATTATTTCAGATGATGTTGCAATCCACCCACATGCTACGGTCGCCATGTAAACTTATCAGAAATAAGTTGGTGCAATACAACACTGTTACACTCAACAATGATCGCAAAGGACAAGACCCGGCTGTGATCGGCTCTAATTCCCTAGTCCTCTTTCTACGATGGTCATTGTCACCTTCACAACCCGCGCTGTAACACAAACTGCTGCCCAGTCCGAAACGCTCTTAGCCCGGACGAGAAAGTGTCCCACCGCATAGGGACTGGAAACTGATTACTGACTTATTGACTTGGGTACTGACTTGTTGACGGCGTCCTGGAACACAGACGGATCGTCCGAGGCCAGGTAGACACAGCGCCGGCTGCCGTCCCCGCCGCCGGCCTCCATCTGACGTCGTTCGTAGAACTCGTGCACGTGCTGCATGTACTCCTCGATAGGGTGGAAGGCAGCCTCAGTGCCCACCTTGTCCGTGCGACGCACGTGTATCCTGTGTCGACGACGACGATAGGGGGCAGGTCAGTCACGTTAGCAACACGTCACACAGAGAATGAATGAGAGGCCGGTGTAACGGCCAAGTAATAATTGGTAGTCTGACTGTCAAAGACAATAAGTCACTATGCAGGATAATACTCGTAACTAGCAGAGAACCGCAATTTGATCTCCGAAATTAACCAACACATCATAGAATCATACACGATAAAGCCACTCGAAAAATTATTCAGTTTCAGCAACGAGGGGAGAAAGAACGTCGACGAATTTAACTATTCCAAAAATAAATTGAAGGAACGTTTTTTTTTTTCTCCCCCAAGCTGCTAACCCACAGCGCACCCTTCACATACCCGACGCAGGGGTTTCGCAGTTGGACCCGTTTCACGAACGCGTCCAGGTCGTTCTGTAGGTGCTGCTGCGGCCTCATCAGGTACCTCACGAACTGGGCCGTGAACCAGACACTGGGGTCGCCGTGCAGGCGGGCCAGTCGGTCCGCCAGGTCGGCCGGTACCGCGAGCGGCAGGTATGGCGGTCGGGGGCTCACTACGTCTATGATGGGGAGCGTTAGCACCTGGGTGTCGGCCGTGCCTGTGTCGGAGGAGGCGGGGGGGGGGGGGGGTGTCAGCCAGGAGTGAAGATTGGTCAGCGGCAGGCAGAAGCGGTAACAGATCAGTACCTTGACGTCAAATGATTGTAGATTGTGCAATCAACCCAAAGTACGCTGGTCAAAACAAGGAGAAAAAAACGCCCGATTAATTTTATACTTCTAGGGCTACATGTTGGTAGACACTAAAGAAAGGCCTAGCAAAATTACATACACAATGATTGAAACATATATTACCACGCCCTAAAAAGTGTTAAAACATGGATGGATGGATGGGTAAAAAGATAAATAGACGGAAGGATGAATTGTATCTTAGCAGTAGCATACCAAGACTTAGGCAATACAAATACAGGCTGCGGAATGGTACCGTACCGAGAACGTGACGACCCGTGACAGGAAGGATGATGATCCGGGAAGACAGTAGCGAAATCAGGCAGACGCAGGCGGGAGGTCGCTGGATGTGGCCGACGCCGACGGGAAGTCGATGGATCAGGCAGACGGTGCCAAGGCCACATAGGACGGCAGACAGAGGCACCTGGAAAATTAGAAGATGGACAATCCAGGGTACAAGGATGGAAGGCTGACAGGCATGATATTACGAGCATGGTAAGAAGTAGAACAGCTCATCAGGACAAATGCTTACAAAGTACATTAGCCTTCGATAATTGTGGCAGCTACATGGTTAAAAGCGTGTTTGTTGGTATTGAAGAGGCCACATATTGAGCTATGATATAAAAAAGATGTAGGTATACCAATGACCATCTAACTAGACATCAACAATGGCACTAGGCAGCACATACGTGGTATCAGATCTTTACAACTGCATCTTTTAACCTTATTTCTTTTCTTTTGTAGTAACCAGACGCTGCTTCACTACCCCTTAGGCACTAAGCTACTCGACTCAACTCACCGGGCCAGGCTGCCTTGGAGCGTCCGCCGGTGTCCTGGCACGTGCCGCTCAGCGGCTGAAACACCTGCTCCCAGCCGGCGCGGTTGTAACGCCAGTTGCGCGAGTTGAGAACCAGCGTGCGCCCCGTGCCGTACGCCACGGTAAGGCAGTAGGCGACGTGGTGGAGCTGACAGCCGAACCCGCAGACCTGGCGAAGACGGTCAGGTGAATCATAGAAGTGCCGATGGTCGGACAGCCGCAAAGGACGACTAATTCCCGCATTATTACAAAATTATCATCAGTTCAGAAAGAGAGAGGCGGATGGAGGATCTTCATACATTTACTATACCGATGGATGACATGAGCACAGATTCGGAAAAAAAATCGATGCAAGACCGTTGTTTCGACGTTGCGTTTTCAACGTCGCGTTTGCGGAAGTACAATGCAGCGGAGGCGGACACATTCCTCCAGTCCGAGGTACCCACCTTGTTCAGATTGCAGACAAGCTTTTTGGCGGTGGCGCAGTCTGGCGGATTCTGCAGAAAGTCGATCCGGCGCCGCATCAGGTCGCCCAGCTGATCGGCCTCTCGTCGGCGCCACGTCTCCCAGCCATCGGCCACGGTCAGGTTGGCCAGATCACCGCGTATTACCCTGGGAGGAGAGAGACACCGGCACCTGATGTACGGGCGGGTGTGCTGGATAGTAGGCATAGCACGTGCATCACAGCTATGAGGGCTATATGATAAAAAGAAGATTCAGCATGTAGTAGCATCGGGTAACAGAACGATAAAAATAGTGAGAACGTGAGCAGGTCACTGGCAACCATCTCACTCGACTGGAAGGTGGACGATCGATTCAAGAGCAGAAGTGGGGATTTGTACATAGACATTTAGAAACACACATGCTGACACATTTGATGCCCAACAAAACTGTCATTCGTCACCCCCCCCCCCTCTCCCCGCCGCCACGTGCTGGACCAGCCACCCACCCAGTCACGCCTCCCCCGCCTCTGTAGGCACGCCCCTCGCTAACTCACGCGTGATACTGTCGCACGCTGTCCTGCAGTTTCTCCAGCCTCCTGGCCACCGGCGGAGCTTTTGCGGAGTCGTCCTTGCGCCAAGCAGTCAGCTCACCGCGCACAAAGCGCCACAGCTCGTCCGCGTCGCGCCGGCTCTGCCTTCGCGCCAGCTCGTACTCCAGGCTAGGCTCTGTGTAGCAGAGGTTCGGACTGTTACTCCCAACGCCACCCTTGCCCACTCAGTGAGCCCAGAGGACTCAGGTGTTCAAACAGAGACTCAGTTGGCTAGCATCGATGGGAACGAGGATGAGCCAACATGTTACTGGTGGCTTGCTTTTGAAGTTAATACAGTTAAATAGGTAGTTGTGCGATTTACTTTACATTGGTCAGAGCACTAGGAAAAGCACTTTGGCAAGCAGGATTTGAAAGAAAATATCAGACAACCAGAAAACTTCATAAACAAGAGATGGCAGCTGGACAGAGCAGCCATTTACAGCTGCAATAAGGATGGTAAGTGATCGACAGCATCAAAGAGCTGAGAGAAGGGCAAGAAAGAGAAATGAGGGTTAGAGGACTATATGGGTACTCACCTGACATTGACAAACGCTGAGGTGCTTCAGCCAGCTTATGCTTCAACTTCTGGATGGTAGCTGTGTTATCATTGCCAGCATTGGCAGAAATCCTAAATGAAAATAAAAATGGGCAAACACAAATATGGGATGATATGACAGTGACATTCCAAAATTCATGTCAATTGGTACAAAAGATACCTGCCAAATAAAAACAGCTGAAGCAGACATTTTTAAACTTTAACAATCACCTGAGTTTACATCCAGTGGCATGGTGAAGTGTCTGTACCAGCCAAGAAATCATTGCCAAATGACTTCTGTGACAACTCTAATATGCATAGCTCAGTACCAGCAAATAGATATCATTCCACACAACACTTCAACCCAAGCTGTTACCTACTGTGCAAAACTATGGCATGAAATTGCTTAGAGTAGTGTTTAACACTTATGTGACACTGACATGTCACTTGCAAGTACACTAGCATGTAAAATAGCCATCAGCAGACAGTCATTCAAAACAACCACCAACCCTGAAGCTCCAGGTACTCACTCTGTGAAGTCGACCAGCATTTGCCGCAGCTCATCGTTTTGCCGACGCAGCTCAGCCAGCTGGGAGACAGCTGCGTTGAGGCGACCAACAAGGACAGCACCACTGCTGCCGCCACCGCCACCCACCAGTGACAGCGGGCCAACAGTGAGGAACACCACCACCACCCAGACAGCGGCCAGAAACAGCAGCACGCGCACATACCAAGTGCCGGCAGCAGCCATTGGCTGCCCTCACTGCACCCAGCTACCAATAAATATCAACTGGCACCTGAAAATGAGTGCATGGGATCAAGATCAGATATTGATATGTGTCAGTCAATTATCATTCATCACACACGTTGAGGTCATGCCCATAGTCATGTATATTGCACTCAAGATCCAAAAGATAAGTTGAAGACCAAACTCATGATGATGATTAAGAGGTATCCTATCTTCCTCTGTCTTAAGCAGTAGCAGCCAGCAGGGCATTCTCAGAAATAAGAATTGCTAGCATAAAAGTAAGCAAGAGACACTAAAAAAATCAGAATTGCGTACCATTACCCTGGCATCGACCTTATTTTAGCGCCTATAGACCTTACCAACAACAAGGCAAGATTTATTTGCCAATACTTTACCAGTAAATGCCCCAACACAACTCAAGCATAAAATAAGCATAAAATAAAACAAATATGTTACCTACCTTCGTTACCTTCTTCAAAAATTATTGCATGCAATACGTGCCTTGAACGCGCCACAAATGTAGCAATGTATAACACCAAGGATAACAAAATAAAAACATTAAAAATGACCTAAATGACGTCACGAAAAATTGGCGTAAAGAGAAGATCTTCACTTTTATTTCAAATATTTCTAAAGCAAAAGGCATGTATTTATATAGTCACCGTGGTATTTATGTTGTGTTGATATATTCAAGCATCGAAATGAGTACTTGTAACAAATACGAGATCCAGGTCTCCCCAGGTGGCAAGCGCAGGTTTATTACCTTTGTGACGTCATAGGTACCATTACCTAACTGCATTCCTGCTGCATTCATTTCTTTCATTTACCGAAACGGGTTTCGGCGCGAGGTAGGAGAGAGTGAGAGAGGGGGAGGTTTCATAGGTTTATTAGCGTTAATAGGTAGAATTTCGGGAATTTCCGTATATTTTTGTCCGAAATTTCTTACCTAAGAATCTTAATAAGTTTAACGGTAAGTGTCTCACGTATCAATTTATATTTTTTTCATGTAATCAGGGTATCAATAGAAATGTAACTTAAATCGTACTCATATTTTTTCCATTTCAATTTTGCCAAATTGATTTGCATTGACGATGGCTAGGCTGTGCGTGAACATGCTGATGGGTTTTGCACAGGGGCTTACCTTCCGTTTCTTTGCTGCCACGTAGGGAGGGCTCGGAGCTCTGTCCGGTCGCTGTTTTTATCAGCACGCTGTCGGTTTTCCCATATAGGGAAGTTATTGCTGGCTTTTCTTGGCCTCTCATTGGTCGAATGAATAGACCACGTGAATTCGACCAATGAGGAGTCAAGAAACAGCAGCATGCTGGCAGCCTGCTGATTAAAAAACTGACCAATCACCGAACAGTACCCAGGCCAGAAGACAGATGACGTGACAGGGTGTGAAGGTTTTATCGATTTTATAGACACTGCTGTGCAGCAAATAATCTTGTTTAGGCTCTAATGGATAAGGGAGCCCAAAGGTTAATATCAAACTGCCTTAGAGGCAAAAATTCTTGAAGGCAAGTATTGACGAAGATTGGCAGACACCCTCTGACGTTATCTTTCAAGGTCACCGATGTAAACAAACAGCTAAACATTTGGAATTTAATAATGCTCTTGTGATAAGAAAAACCACATAAAAATGTCTATACCTCCTTTGCGCTGACCCCATTGCGTCTGCCACAAATCAGTATCTTGTACAGTCGTCAGTCGCCCCAGCACAGAAGATAAGAATGGTACCAACATGGCCCAAAATGGCAGTTGGACACCATGCGCCATCTGATGGCTCCAGCTGCCTCCCCCCATCCAGCCCCCTTATCCCACACTGATGAGACCTCATCAATATTGTTATGGCTTATAATAGGTTCCTTATTTTTTTCTGGTGTTATGTACCAACCTATATGCAGTGAGCTTGTAAATGCTAGCAACTGTAATGAGTTGATGCAAATTTACATATCCCTCTTACGATGAATACTGATCTGCTGCTGTGGCCTGTCCAGCTGAGGTGCCACCACAGACAAGACGCTGTAGTGGCTAGCCTGTAGCCACGGGTATCGGTGACTCTGCTGCTGCTGCGGACAACTGGACACAATGCCGAGCGAGGAGCGCCGTCACAAGGAGCGGCTGCTGGTGCGGTCCTACCGGGACCAGCTCACTGCTCTGGAGGCGGCTCAGCAGGACGGTCTGGCCGACAGGAGCCTGCAGCAGCGGCTGGAAGAGGCCGAGACCCTCTACAAGAAATGTGAGCTGCCCGAGTCGACGGTGGCAGAGGTGGACGGCCAGCTGGTGGCTCAGCTGTCGAGCGAGCTGTCACGCAGCGTCCGCAACGCCAGCGCCGGGCCCATCACCTTCCAGCCGGCCGACTTTGCCGCTCGGCTGTCGGCGGCTGTCAACCAGGAGGATTCACTGACGCCCAACGCCTGGGCTGGCTTGGGCCGGCTCACGGCGAACCTGCTGGGGCCCTGTCCCGGGCTGCAGCTGCTCAACGGAACGCTTGGAGTGCCCAACGCGCCGCCAGCCGAGCGCAAGCAGCGCGCGCCGCGCGCCCGTCCCAACGCGCTGTCGGCTGCTGTGGCGCCCGACAAGGTCGTGGAGGTGGCCGAGCCAGGTGCCACGCCTCAGCAAATCAACCGACTGGAGTCGACGTTGAAAGCGCTCTACAGACGTCTGGGGAAGCCCATCAGCTTCTTCGAGTTCGCGTACCACCCAACAGACTTCGGCGTCACGGTGGAGAACATTTTTCACGCGTCCATTCTAGTAAAGATGAAAAAGGCCCGGCTGTACCACAAGCACGGGCTACCCGTACTGGAGCCAGTGTCGGGTGGAGCGGCCCCAGCCGGTGGTGATGCCGCAGGGGACAAACATCAGATGCTGTTCAGAATCGACCACGAATCATGGCGGCGCATCGTGAAGGAGTTCGGCATCAAGAAGGCGCTGATCCCGCCTGCAGAGGGGCGCCAATAGGGCGGCCCCTGGCGCCGTCGGCACTTGGTCTGCCGGTAATGCCCGGGTATCAAAGTGCGCTGGACGGTACGCGTATTTCGATGCTTTCTGCTCGTGTTTTCATTGAACGGCGTGACATGTGATTAGTCGAACTGTAGAACAAGTGCCTTTTGAGATGAGCTGCCAATGGCAGAAGCCATCATGTAAGTGCATTGTGAAACTGCATTGCATTTTGCTTGAGTACAAATGAAGTTTTCATATTTATCATGCAACTAAAGAACCATTCAAAATGATACTAAGGAAATTAACCTTACTGCTGCGGCAATGAAATCGTTTGAATTTAAAAGGCCAAACATTTGTAGAAGATCACGATTTCTCTATAGATCCTTGCCTTTTTATTCCAACTTTTTTGGTTATGAGAGGTTTTTATTTTCTTAAACTCTAAAATTATGCTTGAAATGTCTCACAATTGTTATCAATTTTTTGCGAGATTTGGTCATGATCAGTGTAAAAAAAGGTTATGAAAATGGTCTTTCAGTTGCATGATGATATGTAATTGGGCCATCTGAAGTGGGTTTGCTACATCGTATTACAGCTGGCACAATCGTATCTGTTTTACGAGTATCTACTGCTAAAGTGGCGAGCTTTTTCATACAGTTTCTTCACTTAGTCATGTGTTGATTTGGGCAAGCAATGATTTTACTTGCTTTTTGTGTAATTGTATATATGTGTTTTAGCTTATCATTCCAGACATGCGAGGGCTGCATTCATTTCCATTTAAGAAAATGTTATGTTAGTCATGTTGCTGTTTCATTTATAATACACAGTGTTGTTTTAACTCATGGTTCGTCGTGACGATTTTAGGTCATTTGACGTGCTTACTGTCAACTATCACAACATTCCAGGTCCTACCTCAGATTTGGGTTGCCAATGCTGAGCCGATGAAAGGTAACCCTTTGATCTTTGACACACTAGCTTTGACACATATTCTGTGCAGATCCTTCTGGACATTTTGTATCCGAAGCAGAGTGCCTTGTTTATGTGCGCACTGACACAGTTGTAGTTCGCTGACTGCGGTTCAGCGCCCGGCGGCTATTTGGTGCCGAATCAAGCGCCGACGACTCTAGATAGCTTTACTGTCCTGACGACTTGGACTTGAAATACTTCAACCTTTCAGTGCGCACTAGGCTTGAATGAACGTTATGCGCGATATGTGCGCCTTAGCAGTGGACGGCCACCTAGGGAACTGTGCTGGGTTGATCGCCGGCCGTGTCTCTGTACTATATGTCAAGCGTGGCGGATCCGTAAATCAAGTACCCACGAACCCGTATCCAGTTAGATGGCCCGTCCGACCCTGCCATAGCAATGCAGATTTGCCCAAATGTGTAATGTGTGTGTTCCCCTCCCACGGCTATCTTTTCTTGCTGGTATATGGACTTGCCGTAGGCCACGATTGCACCACCCCTGCCTAGAAAAGCACCCATTCACCTGCCAAACGCGCTGCTAACCAAACATGAGTTAAAAATTAATGTTCATCGGCGATCTCTGCACGTAAACATCGTCATCTGTCAAACACGTACCCCTACACAGTACACACAGACATTATTTGATTATTAATTGAATGTATTTGTGGCAAGACCACGAAATTCGCATCGGGTGAAGGAGTCACGCGTAAACGAAGTCAAAAACTGTACACTTCCACGCGCATACACAAAAAAAGAGGGAAAAAAAGAAGACAAAGAGGAGAGAACGAGGAAGAGAAGATAAAGAAGGAAGAGAGATGGAGAGGGAGAGAGATACCGAAAACAAAAGACAGACATTCAGGCAGGTGAACAAACAAAAGGTGTGAGAAAGTAAGAGAGAATAGGAGATAGCGTTCTTGGTGACCAAACGGCAATCACAACACTCAGAATAGTCACAATTAGGGACATCTAATATGTATGCAGCTACTATGACTGGCTAAGTTTATATAGATATATTATTCCCAACAAAATGTATGATTAATTCATCGCATAGGCAGCAACCAACCGCACCAGTTGACAAGTGTTGGGCACCAAACACAAAACCACGCTTTTCTCTGCAGGCAAAGTCCACCGACGACGAAATCGGGCATGCTCAAGCACGAAACGGTACGATTTAGCACCTCAGCCAGGCGGTGGCACGGCCGAGGGAAGGGCGTGCCACGACGGGGCGCAACGGCCGAGCACCCAGCAAAATAGCAGAGGGCCGTGCCACCAGCCGGGCCGCACGAATCGGCAACATTCCGCGAGAAGCGACACAAAAACGCACTCTGACGCAGAAAAGTCACCCGCGTACCCGCGGACCGACCCGGCGATGTCCTGCGTCCGTGCCAGTTGTCCCAGGTGGCGTGCTGACTGCTGAACAATGTGCCGAATTTAGCGGTGGGTTCCCCTGAAAAGCGGCGGCGGCGGCGGCAAACCCAGCCGGCCGATTGAAAGAGGGAGAGAGGGAGAGAAACAGAGAGCAATGGAGACCGCCTCCGGGCCCATCGGTGCCGGACGTTCCACTGCCACTTATATCAGGTGTTTGCCAGTAGCACTCCAGCGGCGCCCTTGTCGACTGTAGAACTGCGGCAGCGAGACGTTCCTGCTGTAACCGAGCTCCGTATCACAGGGCGGCGCCGAGTCTCCGTCCCCTTCCCATCCACCCGCCGCCGTGGCGCCGCGACCCTCTTACACGTCCACCACCATCTTCTTGTGGACGTCTGTGTTGCCCACCACCTGTGGATAGCCACAGACGGGCGGGGTTACACATCTCGCCGAAACAGTAACGCACAACGCGAGTCATTTTATACAAGGTGACTTGGACACTAGACCGGCTACAAAGACGGTCTCCTCGGCAGGGAAGTACGGGCACACCGCACTACACTCTCTGGTGGTCAGGCCCTTACGGAAGCTCGGTTTTCAAGTTAGTTCCTCCTCCGAGTTCAACTCCCGCCCAGCCGGCGCCTATAGATTCATTCATTCAATTTCAGGAGAGCCATGCTATATGAAAAAAAAAAACTGAAGATGAGCTCCGAATCAATGTTTCATTAGGTTACGGGGTTGTTTGGACAGGACATATTTAGTAATCGATGCTAGGAAAATGAATCAATGCCAATACACTAACAAAATATTTGGAGTTTCAAACAGTAACTTTTACGTCAAAAGCTTTTGCTAGACACCTAGAAGAGATGCATAAAACAAATCGAATAATTTGATCGGAAGCCGGTGCAATGGCACCCCAGGACCCAGAAGTGTTAAGATCATCTACTGATCATCGCAAAAAGAAGCTGAGCCGCTCACACGTACCGCGCAGAATTCTTCGAAGTTGATCTTGCCATCCTCGTCCTTGTCGGCGAAGAGGATGGTCTTGTCGACAATCTGCTGCAGCTGCGTGTCCTTCAGGTTGCTGCCCACCATCATCTTTAGCACCTGAGGACAGCACAGAAGACATCATCGTTCCAATCAGGATCCAGGGCAGCGCTTTACAAAGGCTTGAATGTTTGACCATCGCAATTACATCTGTCCTTAAAAAGGAACACATTCTTATCGTTCACGTTACGAAGTCATCGACAATTTTATCGCGATCCGTGGCGAAAAAAAAATTGCAGAAAAGCACGACTGCATAGTTTGGTCCAAAAATTCGCTGCAAGTATAATGCTGTACAGTGTACACAATAACTGATAATATTAGAAGAAATGCGATGAAAACCTAATAGGAATGCCTTCTCTCGTATTAGACAACCACAACGATCCTCAAATAAAACAGCTACCCAACTACACACAAAAATAGATTCTACACACAAACAATGTCTTAACAATACATTAAGCACTCATCATTGTGATATAACAATAATTCAATATCTTGCTACAAATTGATAACAAGGTGACACTCATGATTGAAAAAAACTTCCAATGCCAAGGAATCAAAGCATAAATCATTCAACATACACGAAGGAGACCGTACCTGGAACAGTTCTCCGTTTGATATTAGTCCGTCCTTGTCCATGTCATAGATACGGAAAGCGAACCTCAGCTTCGAGAGCTTGTCTCCCTTGACAGAGAACTGTGACACACCCTGGATGAACTCTGAAAAACATAAAACAATAATTGTTATTTACACATAAGTGCACTGACAAGACCGATATGCCAGCACTACTGATAAGCGTTTTATTCGGCATCCGTACATGGAACTTAACGATAAATTTGGTATTACTCCTCCAGCAGTTCATTACCATACAATCAACGACTTCCACGTTAGTTTAGCAAACGCGAATCTGCTGCTATGCCAGAAATGAAATCGATTGAGCAAGGAAAGTTAAGCAGCAATGTTGAGTCAGTATGCGCTTTCTAACAACAATACCAGTTTCAGGAGTGTTGAGCAATCACCTTTGAAGTCTACCTCTCCATTGCCATCTTCATCGAATATTTCAATCACTCGCTGGACTAGAGGATTCTGCTGAAGCTCCGGCAGAGACATAAATTCCTCGACGCTCAGCGATCCGGAGTTGTCGAGATCTAGTTTCCGAAATCGCTTTCCAAGGCGCCGAATTTCATCCGGGTCGACTGAAACAAACAATGCCCAACCGTCATCAAACAATCGAGTCAAATAGTATAGACAGAGGCAGAGACATTGACAGATACATAAACAGACAGAGAAAGAGCGAGTGCGTGAGATTGGGAGAGGGAGGAAAACATGCGACAGCAAAAGACAAAAATAAAGTGACGTAGGAAGTATGAAGAAACTCATTGACATTGTACTTGGGGCTATAAATTATAAAAGGGTACGTAGTATTGCACTTAGGTTATTTTCCTTTTCCCATAACGCCAATGGCAAATCTGGAGATCCCATTTGCCGCTCACTTACAAATTGATGCCTTGCCACTCCACATCATAAAATAGGTTTAGGCGCTACGCAATTAAATTGAAGCGAATGCGTTTCCAAGCGTTTATATTTAATTAGTCTTAGTAAACACAATTAAACTTTCGGATATTTTAGTATTTGCGCATAGCTTTGATCTTTCCTTATAAGCAAAGCCTATTAACCATATGAATTCCTGAAATATTGGCATGTCGCCGTCGCGATGTCGCCGCCTTTGTTTTGTAAGTGGCGCGTGACCAATCAATACGGATACTCTCAAAAGCTGAAAAACGGCACAAATGGGCCTTCCGATCGCACTCGCAGAGATCCTTCAACCACAGAACATGTATCCACATTTATCTTTATTAGACGTTTTCTCACAAGAAAACAGGTTCATATTATTCATCCTTCGTACACGGTAATTCAGTTCCCCGTCACGTCATTCACTGTGTTTATGACGTGCTTATGGCGTGACAAGTCATACCTACCTATTGGATCAACAACGTTCAGGCCACCAGACACTGAGCCTTATAATTTCTTTGAGCAAAATGCTATCAGATTTGTGATCAGTGTCCACTGTCCATGAATGTCTACGGTAACAATGATACCCTGCGTGCCAGAGCCCGAGATGTCAACGTCTTCCGTGAACATCTAAGGTCACTCATCTCAGTTGACCTATTTTCGCCAGAGATTCATTTCGGCGTAATTTTGAAAGGTTGAGCGACACATACTCGTATGTATTGGGTGATTGGCCTCCGTTCAGCATGCATAATACCTACATGATTCACACTCTGAGCAATAATCGCCACGCAATGTGTGGATCACTCATGATCATAAATACAAACACATACAAAACAAACAAAATAAGTAGACGACCTACGTTGACTTTGACCGTGAACCAGACCTTTCGCTACCGGGACGATATTTGTCTTACATTTCTTGGTCGCGCAAACCTTAGTTCGTTTTGTTTTATTGACCTCTGTCTCAGTGACCGGCAGCCGGCACGACCGGTAATGCCAGGCCGGCGGGGCAGATTTGGCCCGCGAAGTGGAGCGAAGTGGAGTGTCCGACCCGCGGCTGGTATCGGCAAAACGCTACAACTAATAACCAGCTTTTGCCTACTTACAGGTGTTTGAAGGCGGTTTATTCACTACAAGACACCGATCGACTGTCAACATCTTTCAGCTATCGCAATTCGCAACTAATCAATCAATATAATTCAGTAGTCATATTTTGCAAATTTTACATGTCTTGCCTTATATAGTTGCTTGTATCTGTTCGTTGTAAACTGTTTGTCCGCCTCGCCGATCGCGGTCACTCTGTTTCATCTAGAGTATAAAAAAAAATGTTTCATCTGGCCCGTACTCAAAAAAAGGTCACCGATTGCTGCATTGGCCACCAACTTTTGGGATAGTATTTCTTCATATGCCATCGGATTAAATCGTTTTGCAATTCCTCATAGGCGCACAAGTCTTCATCACGTAGCGTTCCGTACCCCCAAAACCCATCAGCTCATTCATTAGCAAAATGCATTTCTTTACCTTCACTAATCTTTGTCCCTAAACTGTCCAAATGTGTAGGGACTTGAGATAGGATTGGACCTCCACTGCCTTTTTGCAACATTTCACATTAGCTAAGGAAGTATTAGGAGGTAGATATGAAGGTTGAAGGGTGGGAAAAGAGAAGATGATAATTAAGAGAAGATTCAAAGATGAAGATTTGTGTGAATAGAGAAATGATCATCCAAGATCAGGGTATGTGTGGATGGCGATTTTGCACAAATAGGTATCTGTGGATAAGTAGAAAGAAATTTGAAGATTTGGATAAATGAGAATTTAGATGGATGAAGCAGGAAGAAAGATAATTTCAGAAACAAGTAAATGTATGACAAGTTAATTGAGAGAGGAAATTGTGGTAAAGAGAAATTCAGGACAAGACTTTGGCCATAGAATAGGTACCAGCTTCAGTATTATCCATAACCCTAGCCAACATGAAACAATGAAAGCAATCAGCATTGGTTCAACACAAAATACTTTATTCATCATGTAGGTGATGAGCAATGATATGTGGCAGATCTCTGGGCACTAACAGGGTATTAAAACTAAAGCCACAGGAAGCTATCTAAAGTAATGATGATCATAGATGCCTGAGATTTTCAGAAACCATAAGTCAAGAATGGAAAGACAACCCTATTTAGCAAACAATGACATGCAGCTCAAAGAAGCTGATTGGGTGGAGCAGCATAGGTCACCCCATATTCTGCAATGCATATTTCAGAATTCCCAGGTGGTGGTTGGTACTCACAGTTGGAGCACATCTCCATCGGAAGTGACGTTTCATTGCCCTGCAATAGGAATTTAACCTGTGGTCAACAACTCCAACCCAAGTTTTAGATATCATGACATGAGTAGAGGTCAACTAAAATAAAAGTACATGCCTACTTATTCACAGATTAAAAAATGATGCAACAGTTCATAATCAGCCTTACAGGCTCAGGCTATGGCTAGCCCCGTGACAAAGAAATCAATCAAAGTTCAAACTTACCATTTTCAGTCTTTGATGAGAACAATCAAGTACTTTTCAGTAAAAGACACCTTTTCAGTCAGCACACTAATCTACCAAAAATCAAAAAGAGGCTTCATTCAACACTGGGGTACATTTTTACGTCCAATGCTGATGCACCAGTGAGCAGCCTTTCGCCACCCAAGCTGTTTGCCAATATCACAAATGGACTGACTAGGATTCACTACAAGTTCGGCTTTTCACAACAAACGCCACGACAATATCCCAATCCTGTATCTTGATGTATCAAATCAATAATGCAACCGAAGAATAAATAGGATCACAAGTTTCCTCCTAATCAAAAAACATAAATATGTGAAAATATATAGCGTCGCATTCGTCTCAAAGAAAAGAGCCTCGCTGGAAATGTCGCAGTATTTTGGCGCCATCTATTGTAAGGTGATGAAACCGCGAGATCGCGAGCAGTACGCTTGGTGACGGTAGTGAACGGCCCAAGGCCATGTATGTAAGAACGGCAACATAACATGGGCCATGGCCCTGGCCTTTGATCAGCCCTGACCTCGACGGACGGTTTCTGCATCTCTAAACAATGCAACTATGCCCCCTAAAACCCGGTGATATAAGTAAAGATCTTGTGCTATCGGCATCAGCAATCAGCATGAAAGAGGTAACCATCGGTCAGTGCCCGGCGCCTCCTCCATCCCAAGCTACTCTTCAGCTGGAACCAACCACAGTAACGTTCAGCTAGAGCTGTCCCTGTCCCTGTCCGTAATAGGTCACACATTTCGACTTTGATTCACCCTACTTCTTTTCACGTACTGGTCGGTCTACGAGGGGGCTCAGCTGAGCGCTGTTCGGCAGCCGGCTATTTTGTGTGCAGGGTATGACGTATTTCGCGAGCCGACGTCACAGGCGGTGACGTCGGCTCGCGCGCGAGCCGAGCGCCAACGACAAACTAACGGGAACCCTCGGACACCCTCGGGGCATAAACCGCGGAGTAGCATATTGAGCGAGCCTTTTAAAGAAAATTCATATATTTTCGTTTCTCAAATGATAATCAGGGTGTCTCTTACCTTTTTACATATCATTTAGGCTTACCTTACACTTCAGTTGCCAAATATCTGCAATTTATTCAAGCGAAGGTATTTTCAGTAAATATCAATGGTATAGACCGAAATCTTTTCAATAAAAACTCCAACCAACAGAAATAAAAATAACTTAATTTATTCCAACCATTTCCTCCAAATAAACAACATAAAAACTCACTTTTACACACATCATTCATAATAAAGCATACCAACACGCCGCTTTTGACAATTGCGGCGTCGAGTGGCGCGCTGCTAGCGCTCTTTTTCGATCGCAGAGACCCTGCACGCGCGCGAGCACACTACGTCACGTCCGGGGGGCACAGGTATATGAAAAATCGCAGTGACGTAACACTTTTCTCGCTTCTCATTGGTCAATAGCCCGTTGCCGGGGTAACGTGCACGTATGTGAGCGCGGGCAAGAGTACTAGCCGGCCGCCGATCAGGGCTCAGGTCTTGGGGAGATTGTTGTTACCTCCGAAGTTCGGAGCTGGGAGCAAAATTCAAAATTATTGCAGATAAGAGAAAACCAGACTGCAGAAGATCAAAAGGTGAAGCTGTCTGATCTGCATAAATTGCGGCCGAGGGAATGAGTCAGCTAAAATCAAGATCACCGAAACAGCGACATGAATGTAAGGTGTGAACAGTATATTTCTTGTTCAGTTTGCTCATTTCGAAACAAGCCATAAGTGTTGCTCGCAATCCACGTCGCTGCTGTACAACACAGAATTAATCCAATGTACAGATTGAAATTACGGAAGGCTTGAGTAAAGCTTGAAATCACATACTTCAAAACATTTTACACACTCCCAACTCATTCATATACACGGAATTAATCATGTTCCGGAAGGCCAACTGCAAGTTATTCGTCCAAAACATTTGCAGGCCATTCTGCCACAACATTCGCATATCACCAGCACAATATGTGATAGGTATTCGTGATTAACGCACCGCCTGCGACGCATAACCGAGCCAGCAAATTGCAAAACACAGCGCAAACAGCTAACATCCGTACACGAAAACAGGTTACATCAAATATAGGGCTCTATATTCGCGGCCACGCCGCACCAGGATTGCACCTGGACCAGTCTTTACGCATTTGCGTTAGGGAAGCCATCACGGGAGGCGCCACGGTTAGTCACCGCACCGCGCGTCTGCACACTCGCGGCAGAAGCCGCGTGAAGGACGTTTCAGTACGGGCACGCCGGCAAAAGTCAGTGTATCGACACTCTGGCCGGCCTCTGGCCCAGCTGTGATCAGTTTATCAGCGCCGGTGGTACACGTTAGTCGGGTAGTTCGTAGCGGTGCACGCGCACCCGCTGTTTGTAGTGGTACTCCATGAGGAACTGCCGGAGCGGCCGCGGCAGCCGCAGCTGGTTGATGCCGTCGTAGTTGATGCACGAGACAATGGCGGCGCGGCACAGGTGCGTCAGCGGAAACACGAACGTCCGATTGAGCGGCCGCGTCAGCATCGGCTCGAAGAACATGCAGCAGCTGGGGTCCTTGTAGTGCTCGATCAGGCCCGTGACCGTTGACGACGCGTAGACGCCAGGGTCGTGCGAGTCGAAACTGAAGTTTTTGTTCCACTGTTCAATGCGCGCGTGCAGCGAGCGGCTGTAGCGACGGAAGCTGACCGAGAACAGGTACTCCTCCTGTGCTGAGTCGCGCAGCAGAAACGTACCCTCTGGCTTGTTGTCGAGGAGTCGCTCAGCCTCGTACCGGTCCATCTCGCCCCAGTAGAACGGACTGTTGACGATGCGCAGCAGGTCCGGTACCAGACAGTGGATGTAGTCGACTGTTGTGTGCACAGTGCGCTGCACCAGCGAGCCGTCCGTCGCCAGCTGGGCAAAGTGCGAGACCAGCAGCTGCGACTCGGCGTGCGGCAGCGCCACCGCCGCCGGCGGCGGCGGCTGCGGCGCCGGAGCCTGCTGCTGCTCGGCAGCGCTGCTAACCGCCACCACGGCCGACGCCGGCCGGCCCGGCCCCACCTCGATACCCTCGGCGATCTCCCGAGCACGCTCCTGTCGGGCGCGCTCGTCGAAGTCGTCGGTGGGGTACTGGTCGGGGTTGAAGCGCGTCAGGTCGATGATGGGCTGCCGCGGCGGATCGGAGCCCGTCGACAGTGCCGGGCTCGAGCCGCGCAGTGTCGCCGACGCCGCCGGTTCCCGACCGCCGCGTGTTCGCGAGCCTCGCGATCGGGCCAGTCGCAGGGCGCGCAGTGTCCGCCGGATGCGACCCTCCCTCTTGGTGGCGACAGCTTTGGCCGTGGCAGCGGCGGGGACCGCGGAGGAGGCGGTGGCGGAGGAGCCGGTGGCAGCGCCGGCCGCAGCGCCGCCCGAGCTCCCACCGGACGCGCTGGAATCGGCCGCTCTGTCAGCGGCAGCGGCTCGACAGTGGAGACACAGCTCCCCGGCAGCCGGCATGTCCGCCTCCACGGCGACAGGGGCCGAGGCGGCGGCGGCGGCGGGGCAGTGGCAGTGCTGGCGGCCCAGCGCCTCTGCCGTGGCCAGTGTGCGGCCCACCGTGCCGTAGATACCCTCCACAGGTCGGCGGCGCGGCGGCGGAGAGCTGCCCACCGTCTGCACGCTCACCTCACGGGACATATCTGGACGCTCGAGAGGCGGCAGCGCCGCGGTCCGATCGCAGTGGTGCGTGGAGTCAGTGGCCAGCGGCCGCTCGGCGTCGGTCGGCTCCGGGCTGAGGTCCACCGTCGCGTCGGCGTCCGCTACACTGCCTCTGGATAGGGTGCGACTGAGGGTGTGCCCCAGGTATTGGCGCGCTACAGTGAGCTGCCGCTTCAGGCCGCTCATGCTGGACAACTTCCTGTCAAAAACAGAGAACTGGTCACCGAGGTGGACCCAAACAGCTGGTCTGCATCACAAACATGGCTCCAACCGCTGCACTGGGGAGAAGTGAGTTGTAAGATGCGGTGGCACAATATTACAGCACAGTGCAGTCAGGCTGTCAGGAGCAGTGTCCCAAAATTATATTTTGGCTTGGGTGTCAGAGGGGAATATTCATTACTAAAAAGAGTGCTGAGCGTGGAAAATTGCCGGTCAGAAAGGCACTAAACAGAGTTGAAAACAGGGATCAACAATTTATTTTTGAATGTTGGAGGATGCGGGAGCTGCCTTATAAGATAATTGAATCAAATATGAATGGAGGTAAAATGTACACGCAGATGCTCTTAATTAGTAAAACAGGGAGTGAAAAATTGCTCTGAAAAATTGGACGTGAGAGTGGGAAATTATTTTGATTTGGATGTCACTTCCCACACAAACGGGCAAATTTTGGGACACTGGTCAGGAGGAAAGGCATCAATATTTCAGCCTTTACAGAATAGGGTGAAAGTCGATAGCTGAGCCAGCCACATGCAAAAGTTCATTACATGTTCAAGACATGTCAGCAAAAGTCCATATTCCACTTTCCAAATCCCGGCATGTGGGTGGCAAAAAGATGCGCCCCGTAGAGGGGGGCGCCCCTTGCCTTTTTCGGTAGATACCTTCCAAACTACTGCAGATATCGTCACCAAACTCTCAGGACCCCTCCACGCATCAATTTTACACATTGTGACCAAAAACTGTTCCAAAGGCATGATAAGTTGGCCACAAATGATGTTAGAATGACGTTATGTTCTGCCATTTTCGACCAAAAAAAAAAGGTTTGCTGGAACGGAAGAGCTGTCAGGCCTACAGCTTTTAAGATACAGAAAAGTATTAAAGACATTCAAGACGTAGAAGGTTTAGAATTAGCAGGGCTATAACACTGTTATTTTGGATATTTTCCCCATTTTTACCCAAAAAAATCAAAAAGGCTATTTTCGGATATTATATAAAAAATCCCCCTGCCAAAAGAAACTTCGAAAATCAGGAATACCTATATGTTATAGTCCCTATCGTTTTCCATCGACATACTAAATTTGAAATCGATACCGCTTTTTGGCCAAGTTATGGCGAAAAAACGTTCAAAATTGATGACACCAAATTTATAAAAAAATATTTTTTTTTGCAATTTTAGACCATATAGCACAAAACGTAGACTACAATTAGACTCCCCGTGACGAGCTGCATCGAATCGATAGGTACCCATTTTATGCAAAAATATCAACTTTGAACTTTGTCCTTATTTGACCATAACAGTGAACTTGACATGACCTTGACCAGAACGTAACCAAACTGGCCCCAAAGGTCGCCTAACCCATACAATCGCATTTTCATGCAAAATGGGCTGTAAAACATGTATCACATCACACATGACACTGGTTCATATTGTGACCATCAAGTGTGACCTGGCCCGAACCTCAAATAGCAAAATAGGTGTTTGACAAACAAGTCTCCATTGATGATTTTCAACATGTCCTTTACTCGATTTTACAGCACATTTTATAGAATGCCTGTAAATGATGAAAAATGCGACCATTGATCTGACCTGTGACGTCATCGTTTAGAACAAAGTCAAAAAATCAGGCCACAAGGTCGATCCCAGGTAGGGTATCAAACGCCGTTCAAATTTTGAAAATCGGCCCGTAACTTAACGAGATCTTAGGAGGGGGCCGCCCCCTCCCCCATCGATGGCAGGGTCCGCCGATAGCGCTACGGGACGCGGGTTAAGGAGGAAATGAATGCACTGAACACTGCACATTAGTATACAAATACATACATAAAACAACACACTGTACAATGGTGTTAAAATACATCTACATCTTTTATTATGTAGATTATCTTGTATTTTGCCTGATAATAATTGGCATTAAGATAGCCTGCCCATATTCAGATCTTAATGAAGTGTGAACACTTTAGGCTTCTTAATTTATAGCTATTGTTTGGGAAAAGGCAATCTTGTGCCTAGTGAAAAATATCTTCAAATAATTATACTACTGTCAATATCCTTTTTTTACACAATTGAAAATCAACTAGCAAGAGCATTGTTCTGAAGGACAGAAATCCTAATTTCATCTTTTTTTGAATAGGTGGGCCTTCCCAGAGCCAGCACTGGGGTTGAAATTTATGTCCTGCTCTGCTCTCAAACAGTTCAAAACACTTCCTTATTATTAACAAGTATTAATTTAGTGCCTTTATTCTTTCTGGTCTTTTGAACTGTGATTAACATGTGATAGCTTGGCACTTCCAAAAAAAGATACCTATTGCTGTCAGCTCCTTTGAAATGCCACCAGTTGCTGTTTTTCAGCCAGAATCTATGCTCTAGGTCCTAGGACCAAAAATGATTAATCCTGACATCTGTTATCAGCAGTGTTCCATTTTCAGAACTTTGGGTGGAATGGCATACCTAATGGTCAATGAAAACATATTTTCATCCAAAAGACAGAAAAAGGTGGCACTATTTCATCTTTAAAGATTTTTTTCTTGCATTAAAACAGCCAGGTTACACATCATTTGGCAGTCTATGCATCCACATCCTTTTCTTTCAGATCCTGCCAAGATTCTGGGAGGACGTACTGGGTAATCTTGCTCTACCTATTGACATAAAAATGGTGTTGCACCCTTTTGCTAAAATACTGAAGGTAATAACTTCCTTTTTCTCATCCTGGGATTTTTCTTCTTCATCAGCACACCAAACCCAAATCCAAATTTAGAACACCGATTATCAATTGTACTACAGCTTGTGAACTTATGAATACAAACATGCTGAAAGGCACTGGTAACCTCTTTTATTTCCACATCCATTATTAACCATTTCCTACTTCTTATTACAGCATTAAAGTAACTCCAGCTGTTCTCACCAACCATATATCATATTCAAACTTATTCCAAAGGCATGCCTCTGATATTTAGGGAACTTGCCAGACTTACAAAATTTATTCTTTTTCAGAATGTGTATGCTCGTACAAAAATGAAATTAACACACATTAATAACACATTCAATGTCACACATCTGATCAGGAAAATCTTTATCTATTAACAATTGCTTTTAAATGCATGCACACAAATAATAAATGTCTTCCACCAAGTAGGATCAGGTCCAGGATATACCCATGCAACAATATAGCAACCAAAATAGATTGTTTGTGACATTTAAAATTCAAAGGTTAACATGTTAAGGACAGCGTCATATACAAATACAGGCAAATTTAGTTTGATGTAGCCACTGTTAGATCTACAAAAGTTAGCCACTGTTAGATCTCAATTTTTATCTTGCTAGACCTGGTCTAGCAAGATAAAAATAGTAGACCCCCGCCCCCCCCCCCCCCCAGGAAAAAATCACACTTCCAAGGCCAAAATTAGCCAGCAAAATTAATGATTGGATTCCTTATGCACTGCTGTACTCAGGGGCAGAGAATTGCCATAATCCCAGGGGATGTTTTCAACACCCGGTGAAAGGAAGCGTCCAATTCCTATGTAGAAAAACACAGATAAGAATGCTTTCCAACAGCATCACTCTTCTCACAACTTATGCAAAGCAGTTTGTGTCTCAGATGTAATTTAAGCAGCCACTGGAGTCTGAAGCACTATTATATGTTGGTGACCTTTGAATTTCAGGAAGGTGCTAAATCACCCCCAAACCCCCAATTTTCAGTATATCAGTAGGTGGAACTATGGTCATGAGTACCCAAATATAGCAACGTTCCCATTTTTGGGAACGGAGTTCCCAAATATGGGAACGGGCGTTCCCATTTACGGGAACGGAAGGTAATTTTTCGGCCGTTCGCCCACTAAAACTCATTAGTGCATCACGTCTCAAAAAAGTGCACGCTAATTTAAGTATCTACTGAATCTCTATAAAATTATCTTTAATCTGACCGTTGAACAAGGAAATTGACCGTCGAATGATATTTTTAATGATTTTTTTGAAATGACGGAATGGTGAAAACATGGGTTATACTACATTTAACATGCAATTTAAAGGAAAATGAAGCGTTTTTACATTTTGAGGTCAAGTATAATAATTTTCGCCTGGTTATGAAGTTTCATACTAGCGACACCAGATGCTGACATATGCAAGCGAACACGCGGACAGTCCCGAGGTAATATTATTGACTTTTGGTCTCGGGGCGCACGACCGCGTGGAACGTCAGTGGTTTTACCGAACTACTGTTGTAAACTCAGTTTCAGTGGTTTAAAATTATTCAGCTGTATTTTATCAGCCCGGAAAGACATATTTTATTTGGATGCTAGCTGTTTAGCATTGTTTTATAAGGAGCGTCATGAGCGTGGTTTTTGTCTTCCGTGTTTCTAAGCATGATCGTTTTGGGGGAATTTCTCTTATATAGGTCGCTCTGTGTGGCTTATTTATAATTTTTATGCTGATTTCGATCATTCCTCGTGCCCATCCTACCAGGCCTTTTGCCACTTACACTCATTAAGAAAGGAAAAAACTAGATTTTCCATGGGACTAGGTGTTTTGAGGGTGTAACATATTCAGCGTTCCCATTTTTGGATAATTCCTTGTGCTCGTCAACTATCGGTGATAAACAGACAGGTGCTTGACATGTCTCCACCCTCGGCGCGGACGGTGGATATAGGTATGGAAGACCTTGTTGAACATCGCTGAGCGTTGTGAATTACGTAATCCTGCAGAGGGGGGCGTGCCCGCTGCGAGATCGACGGGAATAAAAGCGCAGAAGACCGGGCGAAACATGCGACGGTCTTGCCGGAAAGGTCATCTGATGATTGTTGCTTAACAATAATTTGCGGCGTTGGACATGATGCTTGTTAATGAAAAGAGCCCCTGAAAGGCGTCGGTGAAATCGTTCCCAATTTTGGGTACGCCGTTCCCATAATAAGGAACGCTTGCAGCGCCAGTGTACGAGAGCGTTCCCAAATTTGGGTTCGCGGCCCGGATGATGGACTGCTTTAGAAATAGGGGAACGATTTGAAACTACGATGGGCCTTACAATATCAAACTCTTTCCCAACAATATTGAGACAAATATCAGGCGCTTCACGATCGTTTTATATTTTTTGGACGTCATTTAACGGTTCTTTTTCTTGTTTTAAATAATTCCTACATGGCGTTCCCATATTTGGGTTTATCGTTCCCAAACATGGGAACGAAAATGCGTTCCCGAAAATGGGTACGCTTGACCATAGTTCCGCCTACTGATATGTCAAGTTTAGGTCCTAGCTACAATTGTGATGCTGTTGATACGAATATGTAACAGCAAAAAAAAAATAGGTTTTAGCTTAGGTTAGGTTGTAGGTTTGTAGGTTTTAGGTTGACGGTAGGTAGGTTTGTAGGTTTAAGGTTGTTAGGTTGTAGGTTTGTAGGTTGTAGGTTGGTAGGTTATAGGTAAGTAGGTAAGGTTATTTTCCACCCGTGGTTGTACTCTTAACTAGGTAGGCACTTAACTTGCCATAGTAAAAGTTTTTTCCTACTCTCTAAAAAAAAAAATACAGTAAAATACCTTATTTTCCCATATTTTGGATAGTGTGGAAAAAGTATATGCTTTAAATGAATTCCCCTGGATCCACCAGGGAACACAGCTGGCTAAAAGTTCAACAGTTTGAGTTCGCACACAAATGCAACCACCATGTCACCATAGAAGTTAGCTTGCATTTTAACGAATCAATAAAAAGGCACTAGAACCAGACAAGAATCCTTACCAGTAGCCACTCCAAGCTAGAGTGAGATCAGCTGGAAAACGACGGCCTTCGATATCCAACTCAGTTGGGGAAACTACGAGGCGAATGTCAAAAAATGGATTGGTCAATAAATGGACTTTTGATGACCATATATGGGCATAAATGCAGCCCCCGCTACTAAGGATGAAAAACGGTATAACAAGCTGGTACTTTCAGTATCGCGTCCACTTATTGGAGAGAAAAGGCTTCCCTTTTTCACTAGGAATTAGTGTGATTTGATTAAATTCGGCGAATTGACTCGAAAATGGCGATAGGAAAACGGCTTTTCTGCAGGTTCTGGGCATCACAATCAGCTGGCCAATTCAATAAATGGATTGGTTTTATGAAAGAAAATTGTTAAAAGATTTAATTTAATTACAATAAACAAAAATATTAAATTCTAAAATAATAAATTAACTACAATTAGAAAAACCATAAACAAAATAATAAAAATAGTGACATTTTTAAACCACGGTACTGCTGTATTTAGGGCCTTGGTACTGCTTACATTTTTTGGCGCGTCTGTTTCAATCCGCCATATTTGCCAATCACGGTTTGACCTTGCGTTGTAACTCTGCGATTTAGAGCCGCCAGTTAATTATGCACCGGGTGAGTGTAGGCCTTGTGTGGTTAAAAAACATTCTTATGCCTTATTTTTTCATTTGAATGCTAAAATTCATTGAAAAGATGAAGTTGTCTGATTTTATGACCATATATGGTCATCGCCCCGCCCACTCCAGCCGCTGATTGGCTAATCCAATTTTTGCTTGGCTCCTCGTAGTTTCCCCAACTGAACTACAATTACCTCCCTGACACACCTATGAATGGTAGTGTCAAAGTCACAAGCCCAATCATCCTTCAACTATGTCAAGCTAAGAACACGTTCAGCAATTGCAACAATTAATGAAGTTGCTCCAGATTCACAAAATACACATCCCATCTCCCCACTACACAACCAAGTGAAAACAAAGATGGCGACATACTGTCTTGCAATACCAAGTACTTGTATTCCAAGTACTTCTACTTAAAAGGTAAATAATGACACTTTTCTTAGTTTTCCTGGTAAAATGATCAAAAACATCACGGAAGGCCCTTAATTAAATAAAATCAATGCATAACCAGGTTTCCTTAGTAGCAGACGACACAACACTAAAAGCAAGTACCAGTACTTTTATTAGTGACGGGAAAAAATATAAAAATTGCAACCAGTAAATTAAACTTTAGTTGCCATGCAACGATAATTGGTGTAAATGATTGATATACCATGTACCATGCATGTTCTTTTTAGCGCACGCCTACAACTGATCTAAAAATACCTATAACGAAAATTAGTCATCGTAAGATTACTTTGACCAGTAGCTCCAGTGGTTCTTTCTTCGTATACTTCATGGCGGCATACCAGACTTTTGTGAAGACATGCGATATCACAGGCAGAGGACGGTAACAACTAACAAAAGTACCTAAATATAAGTAATTCTTCTACAAAGCACCCCCCCCCCTTATAACTCGGCTCCTGGGCTACGTATCGATACGTGGAGGGCGGCGTTCGAAAGAGCGCCAAAAATAATGACGAAATCACATCAGTCACTTTTTTGGTCAGGTCAAAACTCAAAGATCAGGTCACCAGAGGTCATTGAAGGCAAAATGTTGCGCCGATTTTCAGGTCAAATGTCGATAACTTCCAAGAAGTCAACGCATAACTCGGGAACGGGGAACCAGTGGCGGATCTAGGATTTGAGTTTAGGGGGGCAAACATTTAGGGGGCCAGGCAAGTCGGCGAGAATTTCAAACGTCCAGTCTTAGGAACAAAAAAAAACGAGCTACCCCTATTTTTCTCCTCGGATTTCGGGATTTTTTTTTTGATTTTTTTTACATTTTTGTCAGTCCGGCCAAGCCAGGGCAGCGCAAAAAAAAATTTGCAGCCACCCTGTTTCCGTGAGATAGTTAGAGAATAGCTCACCGGCGCTATGGACGGTCCGTCCTCTACCTCCCGCATCACCTCGGCAAGACCTCGTCCGAAAGGTCCGCCCGCGCCGGTTCTCAAGGGCTTCTGTATCCGGAGACCGATAAGGGTCGCAGCAGCAGGTTCATGTGTAAATGCCCACGACCAAAGGCCACATCAGCGTACCTGCGATACTATACGCAGTCAGGGTTGCCACGTAGTTAAACGTATTAACAGTTGTTTCCGGTAATAGAAAATGAGATCAGTCGATTAAGAATCCCAACAAGAAATAGACGAAGAACAGCGCATTTGTTTTCGGTCCTGCATTTATTGATGCAATTACAATGAACATTCCTTAACTTTGGGACTAAACTTCGCGAGCTAGCAAAATTATACAATAAGTGTTACTTTCGAGAGGAGATAAACGATGCTTCTACAGACTACATAGGACCACAGCGCAACAGCCAACGGAATCACACTGAACAGCGTTAAGTTCCCACAACATACTGAGCTTCTCCAACACCTCGCAAACCAAAAGCTCTGACTGAGCCTTTCTGTGTTTGTCCCCGTTAGATAACGGGGACGTTTCTTTGAAACGTTCATGAAAAAGCCGCGATTGGTAATCTTCTTTACGTTATTCCTCTCAGAAACCTATCTCGCACTTGTTCTCAAAGGCACGCAGTTATACACCGTTCTTTCTGGCCATCACTGAGTGACACAGCGGCAGTAGCTCAACCATTATCGGGGTTACATGAGCACAGTAAATACGTATTTAGCCGCTAATTCAAATAAGAACGCATTACCGACTCATGTAGCCACCTGCTAGTACGAATCGGCGATCCAATCCGCGGTTACATGAGCAAAGCAAATACGTATCACGATCGGATTCACCGCTAATGCGAATCAGGAGCGTACTACCGACTCATGTATCCACCTGCTAATACGAATCGGCGGTCCGAAGTCCGAACAAAATCCGCTGGGAAAGAGGCTTAGAAGCGAATAGGACCAAGATACGTATTACAGGAACTATTTTTTTCCAAAAAGAAACATTAAAATGCAAAATAATAGTTATTTTTTTCATTTGCTTCTTTTGAAATAATAATTAAAAAATATGTCGGTATTTTGTCAAGTTTTCAAAAATAAATATAGCGAAAACCAAAAAGAAAATATCGAAGTACTTTCAGTTGAAACATTTTTCCGACAGCACTACAGACGAATCAAGAGAGGCAAGTGCTCAATGAGTCAAAGCAAGACAACCTTATGTTTAACTTTTTATTGTTAAGTTAATTGAGAATGTTTTGAGCAGATTAAATGCAAAAAAGACATAGGATATTAAGTTTTTAATTCAGTCACCTCTATTGCTACGGAAGTGCGCCACATTTGTATGCTATTCCGTTTGTAGTGCGCATTACCTTCCGTCAGGCCGAGAGCCAAACTAGATCCGTTTGACGTCACTGATACGAATTTGCTCATGTAGTCGGTGCACTGAATGCGTTCTTGGGGAGCTGATGCGAATTAGCGTAGTGCGTATTTGGAACGGATCGCTCATGTAACCGAGGCACACGATTCGGGCCGTATTTCACAAGAACTATTCTTTGCTGAATGGAAACGTCAAAATGCTAAATACTAAGCATTTTTTTATTGGCTGCTTCGTAGAAAATAGCAAAAAGAAATGTTGGTATTTCGGTTTAGTCTTTGAAGGTGAATTTGATAAAGATAAAAAAATAAAATGAATGAAATATTTTGATAGATAATTTTTTTCTGACCATCCTGCTGTCGCTGCATGGCGAATCAGTGCACAATGACTTAAAACAAGAAAACTTTGTTTTCATTTTTTGATTTCATGTTAACTTTAATGTTTTTGAGCCTATCAAATGATATAAGTATTTAAAATTTAGTTCAGTCGTCCCGGTAAATGCCGCAACTGCGCCATGACTGTACGCTAATCCTATTCCGTTTGTGATGCGAATTACCGGCCATCGAGGAGTCAGCCCGGGTGAGCCAAACAAGATCCGTTTGACGTAGATAAAACCAGTATAACGCCTTCTGGGGCGACTAACGGAGCGAGCGAGAGGGTGGGCCTTGCACGTGCGAAATTGCGAGGGGGTACTTCCAACTGACTTGTGCACGGCACCCTACTAACCGGTCTCTAGCGATGTGCCAAATTTGGGCACAATCGGCCCAGCCGTTCTCGAGATCTGGAAGCGGCACCCTGCACGTGCGCACGTGCAAAATGGGTCCCAACTGACTTGTGCACGGCACCCTACTAACCGGTCCCTAACTGTGTACCAAATTTGAGCGCAATCGGTCGAGCCGTTCTCGAGATCTGGAAACGACCCCTGCACGTGCGCACGTGCAGCAGCACCCCAACTCTGGCACATGTATATGCAGTGCCTAGTGGGTGCCTACCTACATGCCAACTTTCAGCGCAATCGGCCAAGTAGTTACCGAGATATTGCAACAATTACAAAACTGACACCTCTTCGTTTTGCACGTGGCACGTGCATAAGGGGTCACCCACATGCATCGGGAATAGTCCAATACTTGGTAGAAGGAATGAAGCTACCCTACAAAAATTACCGCATGTAAATCGGTCAAGTGGTTGCTGAGATATAAGCCTCGCAAAAGTGTCCGCACGGCCGGCCGGCCGGCCGCTCATACTCAGAAATTTCCGTTATTCTACGTACCAGTATAACGCCTTTTGGGGCGACTAACGGAGCGAGCGAGAGGGTGAGCCTTGCACGTGCGAAATTGCGATGGGGTACCTCCAACTGAGTTGTGCACGGCACCCTACTAAGCGGTCTCTAGCGATGTACCAAATTTGAGTACAATCGGCCCAGCCGTTCTCGAGATCTGGAAGCAACACCCTGCACGTGCGCACGTGCAAAATGGGTCCCGACTGACTTTTGCACGGCACCCTACTAACCGGTCCCTAACTGTGTACCAAATCTGAGCGCAATCGGTCCAGCCGTTCTCGAGATCTGGAATCGACTCCTGCACGTTCGCACGTGCAGCAGCACCCCAACTCTGGCACATGGATATGCAGTGCCCAGTGGGTGCCTACCTACATGCCAACTTTCAGCGCAATCGGCCAAGTAGTTACCGAGATATTGCAACAATTACAAAACTGACACCTCTTCGTTTTGCACGTGGCACGTGCATAAGGGGTCACCCACATGCATCGGGAATAGTCCAATACTTGGTAGAAGGAATGAAGCTACCCTACAAAAATTACCGCATGTAAATCGGTCAAGTGGTTGCTGAGATATAAGCCTCGCAAAAGCGTCCGCACGGCCGGCCGGCCGGCCGCTCATACTCAGAAATTTCTGTTAATCTAAGGCAGGGCCTCGGCTAAGGAATTTTGACTGGTGGGCCACTTGGGCAGCGACATGGACTGCCCTTCGTAGCTATAACCCCCCCCCCCCCAAATTTTCGATTTCTCCCCAGATTTCGGCCACTTTATTCTGCAAAAAGAAAACGTCAGGATGGCATTAAAAAATGTAAAAAATGGACCTCGACCCCCCCCCCCCCCCCGACTCTTCAGAGAGAGGAGAGTAGAGAGTAGGGACCCACAACCCTCTCAGGGGTGATACTCCGGCGGTGCACATAAAATCTCACAAGTATGCACAAAATATTGACGCAGATAAAACTTTGGACGATAACTTACGGCCGGTCGGCTGTTAAAAATCAGCGAGCCCTGAGTGGATCGCTCGCCGACTAGTCGGAGATTCGGAAGCGGTCGGACGGGATCGGGCGTTGTCGGGTGGATCGGAAGGAATTGTGAACAGCACGAGTGCAACTTTAGTAAAGTGGGTTGTAGCAGGAACCCCAAAAGGGGTTTGTAGCAGCAGCCCCAACATCTCTGAAAATGATCATTAAGCATATTGGTGTCGCATGGAAAAGAATTGACTCAAAAGCCCAAGCGCACTGTGCAACCCTAATATTTTTCTAAAAAAACTAAGTTATGTACGCTTTTGGTGAACAGTGTCCCAAACCTCAGATTTCTCTTTGGTGTCTGAGTGGAAAATTCTAGC